TTACCACCCCTTCCAAAACTTACCTTTACAAGTGTTTCCCTTACTACATCAAGGCAGTTAAACAGATTGCAACAGCTGCAGCTTCCCAGGATTGCAAGACACAGATACTTTGGGAAAGGTTAGTTGGATCACCTTTCAAAATAACCTAGTGCACAGGATGCAAAGCAAAACCTGCTAATTTGCAGTCTATATTAAAAGAATACCTTCAGTATTTGTGAGAACAGCATCTTGCAATCCAGTTTATGTTAACTCATTTTGTTCTCAGTTGAATTCTACATTTGATATTCTTTTAATGAGATTACTTAATAGTCATGAACTGCTGAACTTGCTTTCTTTCCTTCCCTCTCATAAAAATCTTAATTCCTGTGTTTTACACCTAAATACCTGCAATAAGTGACATGGAGTTTTGTTTTGTTTTGTTTTGGGGGGGGGGGGGAGAAGGAGGTAGAGTGCTACAAGACTTGTGTCCTAGAAAAATTCCAATTCTCATTTATATTGTGGCCTAACTAGACTTCCTTTGTAATTTAACTTGACTACATTACACTTCACTTCCTGTTCCCATGTAGGGCTGCTACATTCTACCTCATGTGTGGTGGAAGTGAGAAATGTTAATACTACACAGTTTGCATGCAATGTAGTTGTAGCCATGTTGGACCCAGGAAGAAGAGCTCTGTCTGGCTTGAAAGCTTGTCTCTCTCACTAGCAGAAGTTGATCTATAAAAAAAAATATATATATATTACCTCACCTACCTTGTCTACCTAATACCATACAGGCACATTCTGAAGTGCCTTGGGGGTTCTGCTGGATTCAAAAGGTGCTTTGTAAGCAAAAGATTTTATCACGATTCAAAGATTTCTCCAATCTAGTCACGTTTAGCACAATGGACAAACGAGCAACACTGAAGCTTCAAGAACTCAATTCAACGACAATTCTTTTCTAGAATATGCTGTCTAACTGTATGGAGAACAGAATGCTAGTTCTATAGTTTCTTGGAAACAATTCTTAAACATAATCTCTAAAGGAAGCTTGTTCGTAATGACACGCGCCTGGAGAGGGGAGAAGTCAAGAAATTCTACAGTTCCTTACCACCCACCCCTGTGAGTTCCCTACCAATTTGCTGACAAGCTCTGCTGATGACTCACTCATTTCCTTTTGCTTGAGCCAAGTCATTCTGTTCTCTGCCCTAAAACAAGGCAGGTTTACCTCAATTTTCTGCTTCATAAGACAGACAAATACCAAATATTCAGTCTAAAGAGTCAATTTAGCAAGAGAAAATAAAAGCAGTCAGGTGTTTTTCACAAGACAACTCTCTTTCCAATCTGGCACTAATCTTGCATCAAAACTTCAGTGAAGATGGGAGAAAACACTTGCCTTTTCCAAATTTGAGAGAGCTCAAACAACTAATATAACCAACAGCACAGGCACTGTTTAACACAAGAAAGAGAAAACATCTCTATGCTTAGTTCAGCAGCGGGAAATGAGCAGATACTCCATTTGGATTTCCAAAGATAATCTACTGGGTATGTGCATTATGCCAAAGAAGTTTCTGTTTGCTGAGAGGCAGAAACAGCTGTGAAACTGGAAATAGTGTTTTAATTTTTTGTTTTTAACAATCCTCATGTTTAAAACCAGCTCAGAGAGGAGCCATATTTAAATATTATTTAAGTACAGTTCCCAAACAACTCCATCTGGGCTTAAAAAGTGAAAACAACTTCAAAATAATCAAAAACAATGGGCCCACCTAATGAAGCGTGATGAGCTTAAAAGCTCTTATGTTCAAAATATAGAACTGTGTTTAAATTGCAAAGAAAAAAATTAGAATGACCTTAAATGACATTTTACATAGTCACCTTATATACAAGTGAGATTTATGTTATGTTTTAACAGCCCATTCCAAAATAAGTTGTGTGAAATTTTTTTGCATTAAGTGCCATATTTTGGAAAACCAGGAAATTAACTTCCCTGGCAACACACAAGCCAAATATATATATTTTTAAGATTCAAAATGACAAATATCAGAAATACTAACCCATCAAACTGGAAGCAAACATAGTGGTGTTTTCACAGCATTAAAGCAAAAGAGGGTAAAGATATTATTCAGTAAATAAAGTTACAGTAGGAAAACTATTTCTTGTACCACATTCATCTCACTTTAGTTTGTCTACACTTGAAACACCGCTGTAGCACTTCAGCATAGACACTATCTACACTGATAGGATCTACACTGATCTCCTGTTGGCATAGGTAATCCACCCCCCCGTCTACACCTATAGGTTAGACTGGCTTAACCACATTGCTCAGGGGTGTGGATTTTCCACATCCCTGAGCGACGTAGCTGGGTTGACCTAACTTTTTAGCATAGACCAGGCCTATGAGTTTACCACG